TGTCATCCCATTTAAGTATAGGGTTTATATGAAATGTCTTTACAAGCCTTACAGCTTGGCTTATGTATTTACATGTAAGCTAATTTGAATTTATTGCTATTACTAAAAGCTTTTCCTTTGTTGTAACAAATACTTTTCCGTTTAGCTTGACCTCTATTTTGGTCCCATTATAGATTCATTGACTGTTTAAAATGCGCATTATTTTTACAGAAAAGTCATAATTATTATATGATCTTATAATAATTATGACTTTTCTTTTTGCATAATTTGTATACCTTCATGGGATAGTTTTTTCTTTTTATTTATCCTGACTTAAATTAAGCTTAAATCCATACCATTAAATATGAAGATGTATTAAATACTGAATAATATGACACATAATCTAAAGTCTTCGCTGGAAGAGCAGAGCTTTGTAAGTTATTATGTATGGTCACAGACTATGTGAGTTAACTTACAGTTAACATTGAGTGTGATAAACGTCTGCATCTTGTCCATACGGTGTAATTTTTTTTTTTATGTGAAAAGTTGCCAAACGACCCAGACGGTTCACCTGATGGTAATTGAATACCGCCGCCCATGGACATCTGCTAAACCCGAGGGTTACAGATGCGTTGACAACCTTTTGAAAATTGGGCTCCGGCTACCTCACTCACCAGACGAAACGCGAAAGTATTTGTCATACTTCCACTTTACGCTGGTCTTCTGTGAGGTCGTGGTACTCACCCGGACGGGCCTGCCCATTCGTGCAACAGCCGAGGCTTTTGCGTGGCCCTACCACCGTAATTATTCAAATTGAGTAATTATTCAACCTTGACGTATGGAACCGGGGAAGAGCCTTACAGCCCGCTTCTTCATTATCGGACGTTTACCCTTTGAACCGACCAAATGTACACATCTGTTATCCTACCAGTTGATGGTTCAAAATCTCTAGGAGCTGTAGCTTTTATAAGATTGACAGCGAAAACTCCATCTAACATACACAAGGGATGGATTTACGAATGCCCAACGGTGGTTGTAATCTCACTTATAGCTTACTAGCGACCCGCCCCGGCTTCGCAAGGGTGCAACGTATTATACATATAAACCTTCCTCTTGAATCACTCTATCTAGTAAAAAATACCGCATCAAGATCCGTTGAGTAGTTACAAAGATCTAATCATACATAGGGACAGATAGACAGTGGGACGGCTTTGTTTTATACCATGTAGTGATGATTCGTCTGCTTGTTTGAAACCTCCTCTGGTTTAAAATGTTTCATCTCCACGAGAAGTGTAATAACGCAGGGATTTGTGTTTTTAACCCTGTTACGGTCGCTCGTAACGACGAAAGAATAGCGTCTTAATGTTTATTGTACTACCGGTTCACTTCCCAGGGTTGTTACGCCGACGTTACGCGAAACATGTATCTGTTTCACCTGTTAGTTGTCCGGAATTAAATGACATTTCACTTGTCGACCGCCTGGGAACGTCTCTCCGGCTTTTCGGCTCGCAAGCTAATAGGCCGAGTCCATTGTCTCTTGGTTTTCGGAAGCCGTGTATCATCGTATAGCATTAGGCTCATTACTTTCACTGAAGGCGACGAGTTCGTAAGAAGCTAAGATGGACGCCACTTGGTCTGGGTAATGAAAGAACGTAATTATTAATAACAATACATCTAGTGAAATCGATTCGCCGCGTCATGGATGTCGCGGATTTCTGCAAACTAATGCCTTTCGTGTAAATTTTTTAAATAGATTTCGTAGGAAATAAGCGTGCAGTAAGCTAATTCAAAATGACCACTACCGTACATTGATATCTAAGACATCAGTGGAGTCATAAATAAGTAAATAATAAATATTTTTTTATAATAAATATCTTAGGACACATTTTTTATACTTATTATACATATATAAACACACACTAGACACCCCCACTAGACAGTTCATCACACACAATTTTTCCAGTAGTGGGGATCGAACCCAGAACTCTGAACCCATCGAAATCGGGCGCAGAAGGCAGGTACACTACCCTTGGTCGCTGTCTATGTTGAACAGGCCTTTGCTTAGCAGTGGAAAATGTAATGGGCTGTTACTTTGCTATTTTTCACAGAAGACCTTTCACCGTCACTATCTCTTTTGGCATTAAGCCAGCGCAAAGTCCCACACAAATGGTGCCGCGATATCGCCAATCGAACACTTAGCTGTCACTACGTGAGAGTTTCCTACGTCAAAATTTGATAACCTCGCTCTCTCCGATAGTGTGATATTCAAATTACAATATTTCTCGGGTGTCCAATGATCGTATGATAAACGTATCGCTTGAATTTGACAGCGTTCTGCGTTAGATTCGTGGAGACTTGCGCAATCGTGTTTGAAGCAAAGGTTGACATCGGATTTCGTATATTAATTGAAATATACTCTATAGAACAGTTTCCATAGTGATATGACAAAGACCGGAAGCCAAAAATTAATATTTACATCAACTTGAAATAACTGTTTTAAATTACAAAATAAAAGATGGTTTATCTTCCAGAAAATACCATCTAAAATTTTGATGTGCAAATTTTAACACCACTATTGTGGCCACTCGTGACGCGGGCATCATAAATTTCGTCTTAGGCAGATAGCAAAAAGAAGTAGTCTTATAACTCTGTTAATATGATCATGTACTTAGGACAATCTCACCAGTTAAGTTTTAAGTACATGATCTTCCTAAACAAAAGACCTTTTTTTATACGTCACTAGGAAAACAGTCTAACGTCATATGCAAGTATGTAAGGTTAATTTAAATTAATTTGTACGAATTGGTGATAAGTTGATTTGCGATGTAAACATTTCAAATGGTTGTGGTAATTACACGAGATTTGTTTCTTCGGATTTACACATAAGTCACTGAAGCTCATGATCAAATGAATGCGTGTTTTATCAAAATAGACGCAAAGACTGAAAGCGGCATTTATAATACTCGCAGACTGTAAGGCGATTTCGTTATGACTTCGCCCTTTGAGGTGGCGACTTCGAGCCCCTGTAACCAGCACAAATTCCGTTTTCGGGAACTCGTTTTTCATACATAGTTTATTTAACGAGTTCGATAGAGAGTTGATAACATCAACCAACCCGGGACAATTCTGAATGATGTTATTTTTTTAAAAACGGTAGCTATAGCAATCATAAACGAAAGGCACGTGTATATTGCAATAATTACCAGCTAAGATCGTGTGTAGCCATGGCGGTTTAGCAATAAGGGCTCTATCGACTAGGGTGACTGTGCAACCGATGCCGCGCAGGAATGCCAACGTCCACTTTGCATCACCGGCACGTCCCTACAAGGCATTAAAGCGGCATTATCGCATCAATATTCAGTTTGGCGTCGCGCCGGGAGACGTTTGGACAAGTGTTTGTTTTCGTCGCGACGGGCGACTTTCTCCTCGAGCTGTTGGCCTGGCGGTGCCGTAATGGCGCTTGACTGGCAACACCCGGGTCCACGTGCTGGTCGTAACTGCGTTGTTGACGATAGAGATCCACCAGCGCCGTTGCCTCAGTAACAGAGAAAAGACAAGACAATTTTTTTAGTAACGAACAACAAAATTACTTCAAATATCTCGCTCCGTTTTCGTTTTATAATTGATTTTCAGGAGTACGTATCTCCGGAGCCCAAGATCCAACACAAATGAATATTGTTATGGGACCACATGGGAAGCACCAGCATTCAATTAGAAAAAATCATCAGAATAGGTTTACTCAGTAAAAAGTTATGAGGTAACAACCATAAAAAATAGTACCCGGAGGACTGTTTGTTTGTTTGACTGAGGTTTGTTTTTTTTTTTTTTGGTAAATCGTGTGTTTTGGAAATTACATTTAGATACAAATTAGTGAGTAATGAAATATGCATATTATTTTTCGATCTTACCGACGTAATAAACTGAACTTATGACTGAAAATATGAACTGATGTTTTTCACAAAAGAAAGAACTTTAAAAAAAAGGGAAAAAAATAACAAAATAACAAATCGACAAAAAATTAAAAATACAGAAAGCAAAAAAATAAATGTGTTAATGATCGTGACACGAACCACGGCCTTCTGTTATAACATTTTTTTTTTGCGGCGAATTTTACCGTCGTATTCGAATGATATTTTTCATTCCCTGAAAACAGGGATAAAGGACATTTTCATATATATATATATATATATACAAGAATTGCTACAATCGAATTGAGAACCTCGTCCTCTTTTGAAGTCGGTTGAAAACTAAACACTGATGTAGATTTGATGATATGGTATGTGTTAATTCTCTAAATCATCTTATTTTCGAAACTAACTCAGTGTTTAGTTTACTTCAGTATTTATTCTTTATTCATCGATATTTCTTTCTTGTCTTTAGTACCGTCCGTGCCTTAAGTACCGATTACTTGTTCTTACTTGCCTATAGAAGTTTATCCATGTGTTTAAAAAGATGATGTTTGTTCATGAGTGTAGCAAAGAGGACACGGGAAAGGATCCCGTTGAGTCAAAATGGTTATTATTACCGTTGTACCTAACAATAAGTTACATTTAATTAAATTACAGCCTGTACATGTCCCACAGCAGGGCAAAGGCCTCCTCTGAGCGAGCGCCTGGTCATTTATAGACTGTTCTTTTACAATAAGCTAATCATGAACAACAGCCGATTTTTTTAATAATAACATAATTTTATACTATTTAATTCAAATCGTGATTATCATGTTGTGATCGCAAAGTCCATTCTAATTTTCCGGTACCGGTTTAACTTTGCCAATTTTTGTATATGATCGTAATCATTTATGTTTTAATTTTGTTTACTTGTGTTTTGTAAAAGCTTACAATCGATGCATTCTCGACCAGTACACGTAAGAGATGGTGCCGAAATGAAAAAGTAAAAACAATCACAATTTATAACATTGTCGTCCGTCCTCTCTCCTTTATTTAAAGTCATAACTATACATGAGGATATTAATTTACAAAGGGATAATATTCTTACAACTTGTTTCGGGGAAATCAAATGAGATGAGAGCAAGAAATGTGCACAAAGAGGTTGCCCTCGGTGAGGAATGTTGCTCCAATAGCCTCTTTGCCTCCGGCTACAGACGAAGGCATGGGGCCCCGCGCGTCTACTTTAATATTCCAGTCAACTATAATAGTCCACTCTCAAAAAGGGGCCTTGGAAACTTCGAATGAAAGATAATAAATCAGAAAATTATATCAAACAATAATTTTAACATTTTAAAAGTTGATAGAAAAATGCTCATGACATCGCGACTCAAGTTATTCAAGGTCAAAGGTTGAGAACACGCGTTTTTCGTGAATGTCCAGCTTCCAATGCTTTAAATGATATTTGCATTTGCTATAAAAGTGTAGAGGATAAAATTCTCCACAAATTTTGCTAACAATGTTTTTTATGACATTAATCGTTTTTGATAGAGCGCAATAAATGCGGTGCGCTTGATGTTAACTCCTAATAGATAGTCCACATTGGACAAACACTAACTTTAATTTGTCACTTTCCAAAACATAATGTCGTGCTGGATTTATAATTAGTTAATTTGAAAAAGAATCACACTCGCCCATAATAATGTGTAGGTACTTGCAAGACCCCTGGCTCCTGCTAATTTTGTACTTAAATACTTTTATGTATATACAATTATATAATTCAAAGTAAAAAAAAAAAAAGAAAAGATTGCAGAAACTCTGCAATCTTGCCGGTTCTACTCTGGCAGGTCTAATTTAGTGAACCGGTGGTAGGTTTTGACGTTCAATAAGAATTTAAAATAATCCTATATTGAATAAAGAAGTCTTGACTTTGAATATTTTTGTGAGACTGACCGACGAGCTGTTTAGTCGAGATAATGGAAAAAGATATCACCGCTGAGTAACTGATAAAAGAAGGTCTTATCAATGATTGGTAGCGCTAATGAATCTATACATTAATATGGAATAATCTATAATCGAAGTACTTTATTTGACAATTCAACTCTTTGTGACTTTTTTCATTTAATTTTAACAAAGTTTTAGCAATCCTATAAGTAATTCGATATATGTAGCGTAATTTTCGACATTTCATATCATGATCATGCATGTGGCGCCAACGGTGAAGACTGTCGCTTGAGTTTTAATCGAATTAGTATAACGTGCCCTCAGCATCCTGGGCCTTATCATTAATAAACTCGAGGTATCCCCGGAATTAGAGCGAAAACATTTTCCGTCAAATATAATATTTTTATATTACCCTTACCTTACGATTTCATGTCTGTGACAACTGCTAAATTGTCATTGTAGCGTAGGGCCAAAACTGCATATTTTGTTGCAGATTCTTTTCTCGACTGGTACAAATTAGTGTACCGGTAATACGTTTTGCCATTAATGAGACATAGAGACAATTAAGATAAATGAATATATAATTAAAGATATTATTAACTTAGATAATTCTGAAAAGGAACGCATTCAACGAAAGTAAGCCCAACTAGTCGTAAGAAGAGCACAGGTCAGCGTAGTAAGGAGAAGCCGAACAAATTCCTTAGCCTCGGAAGCCTGTCTTGACTCTTGACTCGCCTCGCCAGTCTGTCGCTGGCCGCGCGCTAGCGCACCCGCGTGCCGCGCTATCGATATCGACGAAAACAATCGACATAGTGTTGTGCCCAGTGCTAGTGTTGTACAAAACATCACCTCACTATCGAACGCTAGAGAGGCAGATGGAAAGGACAACTCGGATGTTACCGCCTCCCCGCCGCAGGACGTGGTGAGTATAGTTTTACTTCTATTCGGTCGCAACGTGTCAAGATTTTGGAGCGATTCGATCATCTCTGAATAATTTATGCCCGTTGCGTCAACTTATGTATTGGTACGTTTCGTCTCTGCTATTTCGGAATCCCTCTGTAGTAAATGAAACGTGATCGGCGATGTCTTTGAGACCTGCTAATAAGTGTCAGCAAATATACAATGCAATCTACAATAACAACGGCAATAAGGTAGTGTCCATATACTACACATCACAGTGAGCGAAAATATTTAGCTGTTTTATTATATCTCTACATTTATTTATCCTTTACTCCAAAAACTTGAATAAGGATTATAAAGGGCAGAATTAATGCCACGCCAATCAAAGCACAATAATGGACGTAACACATATAAACCGATAAAATATTGTGACGGACTAAGTAAAGTCAGTAAAAAGTAAGTTAGCTAAACGTGTCTGTTGCAATTCAAATACTAATTTAGAAAAGAACGCCTTAACGCTTTAAGCATGTTGGAAATACCAAATGTGTTCGTTAGTAACATTAAGTATTAAATCGTTAATAATATTAAATTGATGTATGTCCAACGCGCTTACAACACAGGATCATGTAGAGTCAACGAAACGATTTTAAATAAAAAAATGAAAAACAATGTATTTTTAATGTAAACTGACAAATATAACTTTAAAACTTCGAACTTATATGATCAGATTTTTTACAAATGTTTAGTTATCTTAACAGCTATTTAAAATGAAAGGAGAATAAAAGGAAAATGGAGCAATGTTTCAACTGATTGGTATCCTTGAAATAGCAAAAGAAGCAGAGAAAATAAATAATAAGGAGGGCGGACAGAAAACTGACACCGTGCCTCAAATAAAGAGAAGGAACTGGCTCGCGATAGGTTTCAATGGATATATAGAAAAGCCCTTCCAAAATAGCTGTTCAGAAATAGGCCAATAAGTTAATTCAGAAGAAAATCTTTATTAATTTTATATATATAGTAGGTAATTACGTTGAAATTTAAAATTAAAAATAAAAACAATTTTATAATCACAAGTAAGTCTTAAATAATGTCACCTTTTTAAAACCATTGAGTTAATTTACTACCAATAATACCTTTTTCAAAGCATTAAGATATGCAGTTTTTTATTTAAAGTATAGGTACCTACTATAAATTAATGTAAAAAAAAGCATTAAGATATGTAGTTTTAGTGTAGGTACCTACTATAAATTAATGTAAAAAAATTATTTAACGAAGACAACGGCGCAAACTATGTTACAATTTTACAGTTTTATTTGTTCAGATGTTTCAGGTTTTTACTGATACAATACGCTGTATAGCTTAAAGTACATTATAATTAGAGTGCCTTTTTCATGAGTCATAATGCGTATTTACGATTCCTAGCTGAAGTCAATATCATGTAAGTTTTTATGTATATACGTTTTTATGGAATTTATCGCGGTAGAAACTGTGAAATTGTTTAATTTTACAAGTCATTATTTTTTATATAATCTTGTTTTAAACTATTATTGTAACGCTGGTTGAATAACTTAAACCTGTCCAGAGAAGAACCGGCAGAGAACTCTTTGGTCTTGTCATCTTTTTAACACGCTTTTATTAGATTGGTATGTATGTAACGGAATTTTCGAACTTGACTCACTTCAAAACGTCGAAATAAATTGGAACTTTGCACCCTTATCAACGACTATTATATCCTGTTATCCTGATCGGGGCCTACAGGATTAGCGATTATGCAAATCCAATAAAAACCATGTAGTGTCTTTATGCTAAGTAAAGCGTTTAAAAAATAAAAAAAACACGCACAAGGTAGCAAAAATAAAACTAGAAAATAAATAATAGTTTTAAAAAATGTGACTTCACCATATTGACTCCACCCCACGCTTTTCTACAATAAAATATTTTTAATATAATCACAATATTCTTAATTTAAATTTATTGAACATTATTTTCTACTTTTTAGTTAGGTTTTATATAAGTGTGTTTTTTAAACATTTTTTTTTTTTGGAAATAATATACAGCGTGTCTTTACAATCGCGACATTAAATGAGCACACATATAGAGGATAACTTTTTAAAATTGTATTAAACATCAATTTTAGAGAGTTATTAAATTTTCCAAACAAAGAATTTTAGAACACCCTTACGTATAAATAGTAAAAGTGTAACGTAAAGTTCATTTGTAAAGGTCACAAAGAATATGAATGGGTTGAATGATTTTAAAAGAGACAAAACATACTGTTAGAAGGACAGGCTTGATACGACGCTGTGGTAACGAATGAAAAAGTCTCTGAATGTTTATTTATGATAATTGGCAAGTAGCGTTAGACGTGTGTCCATTTATTGTCGCGATAGTATCGACACCCTATATACAAAAACTGTTAGGTATAAAATTAGCAGCAGCCAGGGGACATGCAAGTGCAGAGCAAAATTCATTGTTGTCCTCAATGTATTCTTTGACATCATAAGAGGCCCTTTACCCTTAGGGTACCTTTTTTAAAATGTGTAGTGTTCGTATAAATATAGTACAAAAATTTAAGCAATTAGAAGTCTTAACTTAAGCCACTCACTTCAAGGCTCATTTACTGACTGACACTGTGTCTTATCTATTCGACTAGGATACTTCATTGTAAATAGTATGTACTGACAAAAGATTTTTGGATATTATATTTGTAATCATAATATTCATTTGGAAACTTTTATCCGAAAACTTATGTAATTGTTTCCTTAGGAAATATTGATAATACTTTTTATTATTTCAGAACCTTATAGCTTTTACATAATACAATAAGTATTTGTTCATTGTTGCTTTCATAATAGACTGTATTTAATCATATTACAGACTTATTTCTTGTTTCTTTACTACAACGGTTTACCCCTTTTTAATTAAAGTATTATGATAAATAAACTGTAATTTTAGAACGAATTCTAATTTAGATTCTAAATTTAATCATTTAACCACGTATGAAGCGTTGTTGTATTGCATTGAAAAAGGAAAGCGTTTTGTGAAACATGAATTAGTATATTTTAATATAAGTACTTTTTCTTTAGACAATTGTTTTATTTTTTAAATATGTATATACTAAAGAAGTTTTGAATGTCCCTCCCCATCCATGGGATGGATCTGACTAATTGATATAATCGATGTCGAGGATACGTTATACATTTGCTTAATAATTTTGTTTTATGTTATAATTTATTTTTAATTTTACCGCATTTAACTTTTCATATCTTTATATTATATTGTTTTTATTTATTTTAATGTTATTTCTGTTGGCTGGATGCATGGAACTGAACGCCAATATTTTTTTTATGTGAAAAGTTGCCAAACGGGCAGACGGTTCACCTGATGTTAAGTGAATACCGCCGCCCATGGACATCTTCTACACCCAAGGGCTTGCATATGCGTTGACAACCTTTTTGGAAAGTGGGCTCCGGCTACCAGTGAGGTAGACGAAATGTGAAAGTATTACACTTCCACTTTCCGCCGGTCTTCTGTGGGGTCGAGGTACTTACCCGGACGAGCCTGTTCATTCATGCAACAGCCGAGGCTGCTGCGTGGCCCTACCACCGATAAACAAGGTATCTGCAGAAAACCAGAGCCGTGGTATTGTCTGCCACGGCTATACAGCGTGTCGTTACCATCGCGACAATAAATGAACACACATATAGGGGATAACTTTTTAAAGTTGTATTAAACATTTAAATTCTTTAAACATCAATATTTACAGAGTTATTTTTTCTTGTATTTACGCGATTACACATTATAAATGAAACTAATTTTACGGATTTATCGTACTACTACTAATTAAAAATAAACGCAATAAATCCGTAAAATTAGTTTCATTTATTTTGCAGAGTTATAAAATTTTCGAAAACAAATAATTTTAGAACACCCTTACCTATAAAAGCGTAACGTAAAGTTTATTTGTAAAGGTCACAAAGCTTATGAATGGGTTGAATGAATTTAAAAGAGACAAAACATACTGTTAGAAGGAGAGGTTTGTAATACGCCGCTGTGGCGCGAGTTGTTACAAATTTTGTTTCCTTTTTACTCAATTAATTTGTTTGAAAAATATATTTTTTTAATTATGGATTTTGTTTAACGTTAATATTTTTTTATGATTTTTGGCAAGTAGCGTTAGACGTGTGTTCATTTATTGTCGCGATGGTAACGACACGCTGTATACTGCGCGGAGACCTTTTTGGAGCATACATTCTTACAATCCTAGTGTTATTTCTTGTTCTTTATTTTTTACCTATAATGTAATGCGCCGAATAAATATTTCTTTCTTTCTTTCATTCAAAATAATTAGTCTTGTTCTGATTGATACAGGGAAGTCATTGTATATGCGACAATTTTGCGCACTTTTGAAGCAGATGCCATTTTTGGTGCCATATTATTCATAATTGCTGCCATATAACCCTAACTCTCCTCGAACATTTATTAATCCACTGTGCCAACTGCATGGTAGATAAACGCCCGTCCTATCTTTTTTCGTTTGTGTGTTTATATGTTTGTAAAGTAATATAGACGTGCTCGCTTGAACTTTTCCGTATCGAACGTATAATTTCATCAGATATCGTTCAGTTATCGGTTGCGCGATACCCCATGTCACGAATCTCATTTACGATTCTGCGGAAACCCTGAAAGCCCGCACTCTGAGTCGTCTATTAGCCTAAGTAGCCTTTAATTCCCTTTGCGAAGTTTACGAAACTATGCACACACCAATAAAATTCTTGGTAACTGGTATTCAAATCCATGTTTGCTATAGACCATTACATGATGATGTGCAAGCCATGCGCATCTCTAAAAGAGATACATGTACGTTCAAGACATGCACATGTTACGTGTCGTGCCTTCGAAAATGCGTATACTATCCTAGCAGAGGCCACATTAAAGGACTACTTTGCACATTTATGTTGCGCTATCAAATAACATTCAACGGTCGAAAAATCAGGTGGAGTATTTCATCGGGCATGGAAA